ATAGCCCCCCAGTAGGATTTTGTCGGAAAATGACCGAATATGGAAATTTTGAGAAAAGCCTGATACAGCACAGTTCAGCACACTTCAGAATGGATAAGAATTCAATTTTGTTTAATCTGATTTCCAAAATTTTGGGGGGGCTGAGCGTCAAGATAGCCCCCCAGTAGGATTTTGTCGGAAATGACCGAATATGGAAATTTTGAGAAAAACCTGATACAGCACAGTTCAGCACACTTCAGATTGGATAAGAATTCAATTTTGATTAATCTGATTTCCAAAATTTTGGGGGGACTGAGCGTCAAGTTAGCCCGTCAGTAGGATTTTGTCGGAAAATGACCGCATATGGAAATTTTGAGAAAAGCCTGATACAGCACAGTTCAGCACACTTCAGAATGCATAAGAATTCAATTTTGTTTAATCTGATTTCCAAAATTTTGGGGGGGCTGAGCGTCAAGTTAGCCCCCCAGTAGGATTTTGTCGGAAAATTACCGAGTATGGAAATTTTGAGAAAAACCTGATACAGCATACTTCAGATTGGATAAGAATTCAATTTTCTTTAATCTAATTTCCAAAATTTTGGGGGGGCTGAGCGTCAAGATAGCCCCCCAGTAGGATTTTGTCGGAAAATGACCGAATATGGAAATTTTGAGAAAAACCTGATACAGCACACTTCAGATTGGATAAGAATTCAATTTTGTTTAATCTGATTTCCAAAATTATGGGGGGGCTGAACGTCAAGTTAGCCTGCCAGTAGGATTTTCTCGGAAAATGACCGAATATGGAAATTTTGAGAAAAACCTGATACAGCATACTTCAGATTGGATAAGAATTCAATTTTGTTTAATCTAATTTCCAAAATTTTGGGGGGGCTGAGCGTCAAGATAGCCCCCCAGTAGGATTTTGTCGGAAAATGACCGAGTATGGAAATTTTGAGAAAAACCTGATACAGCAAACTTCAGATTGGATAAGAATTCAATTTTCTTTAATCTAATTTCCAAAATTTTGGGGGGGCTGAGCGTCAAGATAGCCCCCCAGTAGGATTTTGTCGGAAAATGACCGAATATGGAAATTTTGAGAAAAACCTGATACAGCACACTTCAGATTGGATAAGAATTCAATTTTGTTTAATCTGATTTCCAAAGTTTTGGGGGGGCTGAACGTCAAGTTAGCCCGCCAGTAGGATTTTCTCGGAAAATGACCGAATATGGAAATTTTGAGAAAAACCTGATACAGCACAGTTCAGCACACTTCAGATTGGATAAGAATTCAATTTTGTTTAATCTGATTTCCAAAATTTTGGGGGGGCTGAGCGTCAAGTTAGCCCCCCAGTAGGATTTTGTCGGAAAATGAACGAATATGGAAATTTTGAGAAAAACCTGATACAGCATACTTCAGATTGGATAAGAATTCAATTTTGTTTAATCTAATTTCCAAAATTTTGGGGGGGCTGAGCGTCAAGATAGCCCCCCAGTAGGATTTTGTCGGAAAATGACCGAATATGGAAATTTTGAGAAAAACCTGATACAGCACAGTTCAGCACACTTCAGAATGGATAAGAATTCAATTTTGTTTAATCTGATTCCTAAAATTTTGGGGGGGCTGAGCGTCAAGTTAGCCCCCCAGTAGGATTTTGTCGGAAAATGACCGAATATGGAAATTTTGAGAAAAACCTGATACAGCACACTTCATATTCCAAAAATAAAAAAATGCAAGATGTGTGTGGCTGGCATTTTAGAAGTAGCAGTAGGTATCTAGTGGCAGGTATGTAGAGTGATTCATTCATCGATGCGACAGATCAGGTTGTTCTATTCTCTATCTGCTAAAAAGGATATTATACTCGAGTCAATATTTGAAAATATTAAATCAGGTTGTTCTATTCTCTATCCTGCTATAAATAATGTTATACTTGCGTCAATACTTGAAAATATTTTGTTACGCACCGGCTAAAATTCTACGAAAATGCCAGAAAATTCCACGAAAATGCCAAAAATCCCACTTTGCCTTTACGAAAAATTCCAGCAGCGATTTTCTACTCGGGTCTGCTGTAACAAAAATATTGGTTGGAAGGGTTGCAAGAAATGGCTTTACATCTACATTTTAACTATACCTACCTACCCCTCAAGGATAATACCGAGGATAATACACACACACTACTACTACAGGATAGCCTCGAGGATAGCTTATCCTCATAAGGCCTGTGTGGATCAAATCTCAAGCCCTCCACCACGCCAAAAAATCAGTGATGACATAGGCAGCGTGACGTTTCTCTCCTTGATGTAAGGTGTTTGCAACACATTAATTAGGTAACTGAGTAGGTAACATTCTAAAACAACGCTTTTTTAAATCTCCATTGCATCTTCGTTTTTGCCTATTGTGTTAACCAAATTCAATAATATTTTTCATCATAAATGTATATTCTAAAATACGACCGCTGGCGCAAACAGCCGACGATGTCGTTGATGACGTCACCAATGGTGTTACACAAAATGGCCGCGCTTCCCAAAAACGAGACCGATGATAAGCAATCCTGTGTAGTAATGTGTATTATCCTTTAGGGTGTTCATTTATTCCTTTTCTTGATTCAAGCAGATCTTAGCAGCAGATCGGCGTTCACTTGTCCCATATATACCGGGTGTCTACGAGATCAGTTTCGCGCTGGCATTTGATGAGTTTTTTTTCGATGGCAAAGATTTTTGGTATGGAGTGTAGGTTTGAGAAATGTCATCTTTTGACATGTGTGTCAATGTCTGGTAACTTCCGGTTTGACCGGAAATGGTCCTAACTCCGTAATTTTGAATGGCATCCCAATAATTTTTTCACATTTTTGGTATCTGCGGATCATGATGTGTACGAAAACGTCAAATTTGAACATTTTTGAAGACATTTCAGAACTCTGGATGAAAATTTATTTTTGAACAGGAAGTGACGGAGCGGTCTTAAAATTGTTATTTTTAACTAACACAATCGTGGAAAAATTCGAATACCAAGTTATTATCCTATGCTTGTTCTCCAAAAGCTTCCAAAGCTGAAAAAATCACATTTTACGTGATAACTCAATGAAATCAGTGAAATCACCCGACTTTCATAACAAATATTTTTTACCTTTTTCAAAATAAAACCAACTATGCATTAAAACTTTTTATTCATGCCAGTTTTTAATTATTTTTCCAATATTTTCACTATGCATTACTATAACTGATAAAACTACTTATAAATAAACCCCTGTATTCAAACTTTGTATTTACAAATTCCCGAGATGTCAAACAATGACAAATAAACATATCTTGCCCACAGTTTTCTTGCCCACAGATCTTGTCAATGACTTGTCAAGAAAAAAAAAACACCAGCTCCTTTTGAAAAGCTTTCTTCATACAGGGGTTAATTTATAAGTAGTTCTATCATTTATAGTAGTGCATTATAAAAATAATAAGAAAATAATTAAAAACTAACATAAATGAAAAGTTTCAATGCATAGTTCGTTTTATTTTGAAAAAGGTAAAAAACTCTTGTTGCGAAAGTTGGGTGATTTCACTGATTTCATTGAGTTCATGCATCACGCAAAATGTGATTTTTTCAACTTTGGATGCCTTTGGAGAGCAAGCAAAGGATAACATCTTGGCACTCGCATTTTTCTACGATTGTGTGGGTTGAAAATAACAATTTTAGGACCGCTCTGTCACTTTTTGTTCACAAATAAATTTTCATCCAGAGTTCTAAAACTTCTTCAAAAATGTTCAAATTTGACGTTTTCGTACACATCATGATCCGCAGATATTAGTCTATATCTTTTCCTAGCCTCGGCTCTGCCTCGGCTATGAAACACCAGCCGCGGCATTAAATCTTGTACTTTTCTGCCTAATAAAACAAATAACTATTTTGAACTGCTGCGAAAACGCGGGATAGGAAAGGGACGTCACTTTCCCAAACATGCGAGGATGCCGAATTTCTCATTAGTAAACCATTCCAGAATATGGCTGATAAAAAATCAATTAACAATAAACTACACGTACAGTTGCGATCAAAAAAAAGTAGTACAAAAATTATTAGCCCCAATTTGAGCTCCCGGTGTAACATACAAAATTTTAACAGGCAATGACATATTCTAGGTTAAAAACTGGTGGAAAAATGCCAAAGTAATGTCATCTAAAGCTTTCTAGGTTGAAAACTTGTCGAAAAATGCCAAAAATATGTCATTTTTGGTTATGAATTTAATTAATGTATAATAGACCAGGAGATTTTGGACATTTTTCTTGTACTACTTTTTTTTTTATCGCAACTGTACCTGGAATGGCCCGCCCAGCCTATCTATAAAATGAGGCAAATCAAGATGGAGAATGTGGGGGATACCTATTTCTATTTACCTAATGGGCCAATTATGAAAATCTTTCCTTGTCTAAAAAATATTATATTTGATGTTAGGAATATACAGCAAACCTAACACCAATGTCAATGAACTAGGCAGAGATAAGTATCCTCCACTATATAGCTATCTTTGGAGGCACTGAGAGAGATGACAAATGCCATATCCGACAACGGTCGGTTCTATTCCAGGTACGTGTAGTTGATAGTTCATTGTGAAAAATTAGTCACAACCTATGACCTATTTTCGTCCTTTACTACTTTATAAAAAAAGAAAGGATAGGTAATCGGTGAACTCTAGCTACCTAGTAAAATGATCCTAAAATGCTTCGTCATTTCTAAAGGTGGCAATAAGCTCATGAATGCTTCAGGCACATGAAAATAGACTATTGTGCGCAGTTTTTTTTTTTTTTTTTTGGTCAACCCTTTTTGTTAACACAGCCCCCCCAAACCAAAATCCTGGATACGCCAATGGGCTGATGCATCTATGGCAACAGATGAAAATTCAACGTTAGATGCAAACGTAGAAGCTTCAAATCCCAATAACGAACCAGTTTTGCAGACGGCAATTATCACAGAAGAAGGTAGGTTAAATAAGCTATTTTTTCTTTTTATTTTGCAAAAGATGTTATGATTTTTAGGAGCACAAGATTTAACATCGGGCGAAGATATCAATCCGGGAGAGGCTTTTTCTTGTAATACTTCTACAAGTACATCAAGTTCTCTCAGTTCATCAGATCACTCTGAACCATTTGGCTCTGGTTCTTCAGAAGATGATCCAGAGTATAAAGCTTCATCTGAGTCATCATCTGAAAGTGAGATGCAAGAAGAAGCCGCCGCTGCCACCGATGAAAGACAAATAGAAGACGTTGAAGAAGATCCACCTGTCAAAAGGAGAAGCAGAAAAAGGAAAAATAATAGCGTGCAGTCGAAGAAAAACATTGCAAAGCAACTAAAAAACAGTGGGAAAAGTTACCAATCAATAAAAGTTACTAAAAATGAGGATGACGAAGACATTAGTCACTCGTGATCCAAAAAAATTACTTCCCCCTTGCAAAAACAATTGTCGCCTCAAATGTAGAGATAAAATATCAGAAGAATCACGGCAATGTATTTTTGATGAATATTGGGGTTTGAAAAACTTACAAAGGCAAAGAGATTTTGTTGCAAACTCAATGACTGGCATTTCCCCCAAATATAGATATTCAAATCTTGAAAACCACAGACGTCAAAATCACGCTTTCTATTTTCAATTTGATGGGAAAAAGATTCGAGTTTGCAGAACATTTTTTACATCCACTTTAGCAATAACAACCAGAACCTTAAGAACAATAATAGGAAAACAGGAATCTCAGAAAACTCACGGAATTATAACAGAAGATCTCAGGGGGGAACATGGTCATCATCAATCAGTTGACAAAAATATAAAGAGAGGAATAATAGAACACATTAAACTGATACCAAGATTGGAAAGTCATTATTGCCGTGCCGATACCCAAAGAGAATTTATAGGATCAAAAACTTTTTTCCGAAAAAGGACCAATGTGATCTTTGCATGGAATATAAAAATGCCTCGGAAGAAGGAAAGCAATTGATTGAAGATAAATATAAAACTCACTTGACTGAAAAAGACTTAAGTCGAAAAGAGAGAGAAAAAGACAAAGAAGAAAATAAATTAATTGTTTCCTTTGATCTCCAAGCGACTCTACCCTGCCCTCTTGGCAATGCCTCCTCTTTCTATTATACCTCTAAGCTAAATGTGTACAATTTGACTTTTGTCAGCTCAACAAAAAATGATGTAGTTTGTTATATTTGGCATGAGGGTGAGGCAAATAGGGGGGCTAATGAAATCGGCTCATGTGTCTGGCATTATCTTAATGGACTAAAGAAAAAGGCATTAATTGAAGAAAATAAAATGGTTGATGTAACATTTTATACAGACAATTGCTCTGGACAAAACAAAAACAAATTTTTATATGCGTTATACCTTTCCGCTGTATCAGTATTGCCCCACATCAACTCAATAATGCATAAGTATTTGATAAGGGGACATACACAAAATGATGCAGAAAATGTGCACTCTGTAATCGAAAAACAAATTTCCAGATATAAAAAGGCGGCCGCTATCTACGCTCCTGATCAGTATGTGACATTGATACGACAAGCAAAAAAAACTGGGCAACCCTATGTAGTGGAAGAATTGAGTCATGGCGATTTCAAAGACCTGAAGGATTTATCTGAGCAGATGGCAGTTAAAGAATTATACAAAAATGAAAATGGCGATCTAGTGAAAACTTCAGACATTAAAGTTTTTGAAGTACGTAAAAAGGAAATGGGATGCTTTTTTTATAAGACTTCCTACAAAGATTGCATCATATTTTCGAGTAAATGTATTTTCTAGACGATCGTCCACTGATTTCAATGAAATTGTCCTGAAAAATGCTTACGGAGAAAAAACTGGTATAGCGGAGGGGAAAAAAAAGGTATACTTGCATTGATTGAAAAAAGTATTGTGCCACGTTTTTATTACGAATTTTATAATAACCTTTAGGGCGGGTATTATAATACTATTTTGATAGAATAACTAAAGTTAACTTCTAGAATGACATTAGTTCTCATAGTAATTCCAAAAGTTAACTTTTAGTTATCTGTCAAAATAGTTTTATAATACCCACCCTCATTCATTCAAAAAGTTGCTTAAATTGACTATGCCAGTTTTTTGTCGTTGTCATAGTTTCATTGAGTATTTTGAATACTTTTTTCCACCTTGTTTAGTTTTCTGCAATACTTGTTTATTTATAACCTTAAAGAATATATTTTTAGTTAAGTTTCCTAATTTTACCTAATTATTACCTTGTGGAATTCCTTCATAGTAAGTAAATAAACAGTAAATAAATAACGTTTTTCTCCGAATGACAGTAAAAGCGGCCTTTTAATGACACTTGACAGGATCAAAAGTTGTATTTTTACTGCCTAGGCAGTAAAAGTGGACTTTTACTAATAATAATGAATGAAATAAATATAAAAAGATGTCCATGTGTGAATTTGAACATTCGGAGAAAAAATTATATGTTTTACATGGCAGAAAAGCAGATTCAATGCCTCGGCTGGTTTCCTAGCCTCGGCTATGAAACACCAGCCGCGGTATTAAATCTTGTACTTTTCTGCCTAGTGAAACAAATAACTATTTATGTTTTATTTTCAATTTTGTGACTAATTTTTTGTTTATTTCAGGGTTTTTTTTTCGTGGAAAAACGTCACTTCTATTTTTTTTACTTCAAATTGGCGAAATTCCTATACCAATAGATGGCGCTAAATTACGCGAAAAATAGCAATATGTCTGCCGAACTCAGTGAACAACAAAGCTAGTTTTTTGAGGTTAGTTTTTGTTAAATTGTGTTTTATGATGTTTTTGTGATTTATATAACAGAAACAATACATAAAATGAATAATATTCTTTAGAAAATTGAAAACTTTCAGAAACAATGCCGGGGGCCAAATGCAAACTTGCTTTGTTGTTCACTGAGTTTTGAGTACCAAAGTTGATCATAGATGTCGCCTACTTCGGGGCCCTTCGCGAATATTCATATTTCTAGGGAACATTAATTTCACAAATATGCTCGAGAATAATGTGTGTGACGCTAGCTCCTTGGAGCCAGCTCCTTGCCTCAAATATGAATCCGCGAACGTAGTCGAAAGTGTGAAGCCAGCTCCTTGCGAAAGGCAACTTTTATTGTTTAATAGAAATAAAACTGAATATATTTTTCGAATAATTTCTTTTTTCTCCAAACGTCAAAAAAACATCACTTTGTCAACACCTGTCAAGATGGTAGAAATTCAATTTCTATGTTGTTAGGCAAATCCAGGAGGTTAACACCTGTCGAGGTGGTAGAAATTTAATTTCTATGCTGCTTGGCAACCCCAGCGGCAGCAAAAGTATTTTTGGTGCCGCTGGAGCGGCAGTAAAAGTACTTTTAGTGCCGCTTGTACTTTTACTGCCGCTCAACCATCCAGTTACCCCCGAGCTTACCACATTCGTTTGGAGAAAAAATAGCGTGTTGCATACGGAGTAGAAGCATTTTTTTGTGCTTCAGCAGTATTGCAAGCCTCACTACGTTCGGCTCGCAAACCTACTGCTTCAGCACAAAAAAGTAAAGCTTCTACTCCTAATACAACAATATACTATTTCAACCAAAAGCAAACGACACAATCAAAATAATATTGAGTTAGGTTAGAATCACCATTTAAATCAAGAAAGGCAGGGTTGTGTGTAATGTAGAAATGTACTATCCCGGTCCAGGACCGGATTTTCGATTCGAAATTTTTATGGTAGATAGAGAGTCGAAAGTACTACTCAACCCACCCCTCGAGATTGAGGGACAAACGAAACTTTCGCGGTAAAAAATTATTTACTGTCCAAGGAGCAGAGTACTATCTCGGTCCAGGACCGGATTTTCGATTTGAAATTTTTATGGTAGATAGAGGGTCCATAGTACTACTCAACCCACCCGTCGAGATTGAGGGACAAACGAAACTTTCGCGGTAAAAAATTATTTACTGTCCAAGGAGCTGAGTACTATCTCGGTCCAGGACCGGATTTTCGATTTGAATTTTTTATGGTAGATAGAGGGTTCATAGTACTATTCAACCCACCCCTCGAGATTGAGGGACAAACGAAACTTCCGCGGTAAAAAATTAATAATAACTGTCCAAGAAGCTAGCTAGGTATCTTAGTCCAGGGCTGGAAACGTGACGAGTGGGATTTTACTTTCATGACGTCACCCACGTTCTATTTATCGCGTACAGTACAGGCAACGATGAAGGTTGCTCGGCAACCTGACGTCGTGAAAATAAAATTCTAGTAGAATTCCACTTGTCGTGATCCCAGCCCTGGACTAGGATTGCCAACCCTCCTGATTTAGGCGGGAAGCTCCCGCTTTTTTACTAAAGCTCCCGCCTCCCGCGCATGTAAACCAAACTTCCGCTTTTCCTAAAAATAGAAATACGATTAATATCGAGCATCGAGCGGCGGTCGCGCTTTGACAATAATATTTTCATCTCTCTTTATTTCCAATTCTAAACGAAGACAGAACTACTCAAATTTGAGAGCGTATCTAGCTAGCTCACTTGGTTGTCTGGTCTGAACCTGACTGGACTGAACATATAGCTTTGTTTATAGTTCCATCCCAGTAGGGAACCGTACATTTCGTCGTCAGGATTCTGCGCAAAACGTAAAATTTTTGTACGTAGAATCCGAAATTCGTATACAGAGTGGTTCCGAAATCGTTCTTGAAACGGTTTTTTGGCGGTTTGGAACATACCTTTATTGTGACAACGCTCACTGACGTCGTACTTATAGGTAGATTGTAGAGGGGGCAACAAATTTTCATAGGGGTCACAGTCAGTTCGTCGTAAATCAATCTGTCGTACGTCAATTCGTCGTATACGTTAATTCGTCGTAAAGTCAATTCGTCATATACGTCCATTCGTCGTAAATTCAATTCGTCGTATACGTCAATGTGTCGTGAAGTAACGTCGACTAGCTCGTATTGGGATAAATTGGGTCGAACATCCCTGTCGGCATGAAAACAACTGAATCCTATGCATCACTGGTGACGGTGACACATGTGGTAGCCAACGTGTTAATAGTTTGCAATTTTAATCAGAAATTATCAAACTTACTGATAATAACCCGGTTAGTTTGAGTTAGTTTGCAATGTGATGTCTGAATGAAATTGCAAACTAACCGAAACTAACCGGGTTATCATCGGTAAGTTTAGTAATGCCTGATTAAACAGAAAAAATGTAAATTTATACATTCTAACATTATAACTGTAATACGACGAATTGACTTTACGACGAATTGACGTACGAAGAATTGAGTTACGATAAATTGACCTTTTCATAGGTACCTACCTGTCCAAAAATTCGCTGACAAAACTTTGTGTCTTTGTTCGGGTTTGAAAAAAGGACGGTTCTAGAACAATTCGAAACAATCGCGCAGTTAATTTATTATTGAAATTTGTGATAACTGAGCGATTGTCATTTTGTTGATTGAGAAACTGTGCTATTGTTTTGAACCGTTTTAGAACCGTCCTTTTTTCAAACCCGAAAAGGCCCATTATAAGTATGATAAAAACTGGAAAAATTAGGGCGTGGCACCACGAAACATTATTTTTCCCTCCCATGGACTAACTCCTTAATTTTTTACCGCGAAAGTTTCGTTTGTCCCTCAATGTCGAGGGGTGTGTTGAGTAGTACTATGAACCCTCTATCTACCATAAAAATTTCAAATCGAAAATCCGGTCCTGGACCGAGATAGTACTCAGCTCCTTGGACAGTAAATAATTTTTTACCGCGAAAGTTTCGTTTGTCCCTCAATCTCGAGGGGTGGGTTGAGTAGTACTATGAACCCTCTATCTGCCATAAAAATTTCAAATCGAAAATCCGGTCCTGGACCGAGATAGTACTCAGCTCCTTGGACAGTAAATAATTTTTTACCGCCAAAGTTTCGTTTGTCCCTCAATATCGAGGGGTGGGTTGAGTAGTACTGTGAACCCTCTATCTACCATAAAAATTTCAAATCGAAAATCCGGTCCTGGACCGAGATAGTACCTATTTCCTTGGACAGTAAATAATTTTTTACCGCCAAAGTTTCGTTTGTCCCTCAATGTCGAGGGGTGGGTTGAGTAGTACTTTGGACCCTCTATCTACCATAAAAATTTCGAATCGAAAATCCGGTCCTGGACCGAGATAGTACTCAGCTCCTTGGACAGTTATTAATTTTTTACCGCGAAAGTTTCGTTTGTCCCTCAATCTCGAGGGGTGGGTTGAGTAGTACTATGAACCCTCTATCTACCATGAAAAACTCAAATCGAAAATCCGGTCCTGGACCGAGATAGTACTCAGCTCCTTGGACAGTAAATAATTTTTTACCGCGAAAGTTTCGTTTGTCCCTCAATCTCGAGGGGTGGGTTGAGTAGTACTATGAACCCTCTATCTACCATAAAAATATCAAATCGAAAATCCGGTCCTGGACCGAGATAGTACTCAGCTCCTTGGACAGTAAATAATTTTTTACCGCGAAAGTTTCGTTTGTCCCTCAATCTCGAGGGGTGGGTTGAGTAGTACTATGAACCCTCTATCTACCATAAAAATATCAAATCGAAAATCCGGTCCTGGACCGAGATAGTACTCAGCTCCTTGGACAGTAAATAATTTTTTACCGCGAAAGTTTCGTTTGCCCCTCAATCTCGAGGAGTGGGTTGAGTAGTACTGTGAACCCTCTATCTACCATAAAAATTTCAAATCGAAAATCCGGTCCTGGACCGAGATAGTACCTATTTCCTTGGACAGTAAATAATTTTTTACCGCCAAAGTTTCGTTTGTCCCTCAATGTCG